TATAACAAAGAGGTGATTCGTGGTTAATTTAAGTTACAGTGACTTTAAATCAATGATCCACTAGGTTAGCATCGTTAACTATTCTTCATAAGTAAGTTCAGATGGCCCAAACTAAGCCTTGTCATCCATATAAAATCTTTGGATTGCACGAATCATGAAATACTAAAACCGGCTTAGTACGGCTAAAAATTGTTAACAGGAGATATATATAAGTATATACTTAACTCTGTTGACATAAGTTAATGATGACAAAATGGTTTTCCAATTTGTTCATATATATTATTCCATTAACACATGTAGTAATCAAAACCTGTCCCCAACCCTTGCAGTAAAGTTGCCACCTCCATGTATATGTAAACAGGCAGACTTATAGTGCGGTACATCATGTGAGTAATGACTCCTTTCCTATTTAAATGACATTAACAACACGTGTAGGCATTACATATTTCATTACACAATGAATAACTTGTACTTGTATTCGAATATTGCTGTTTCATTCACATTTTTGTTATAGACGAGGTAAAACATATTTTAAACGTTGTTCTCCTGACGATTTCGTGACAAAGCCACACTGTAAAAGACTCGCTGGAAAAACCGTGGTCGTAGCTTTATATCAATTAATCTAATTAGCCTCGTTAGGTTTCTGAGAGAGTTTAAGCCTCACTTACCTATTCACAAGTTTAAAGGATCCGGATTCCAAGCATGTGCTGGCTTTGATTTTGACCTGGTGTTTGCTTGATTTTGTAATTTTTTAAATTTTAGACTTAGTTTGGTCCACATCTAGTTGTTTTTAAACATTTAATATATATATTTTTCTCATTATGTTCAAATTGAGATTAGAAATTAAGTGTAAATATTTCAAAGCCACACTTCTGTTAGGTAAAAATAAGACATTTGTATTTAATATAAATATATATAATTGCTATCTGTACACGCACTAATTCTAATTACGATATCATTACGACCCATCAAATGTTTTTTTAATTTTTATTTTAGTTCTAAAATATAAGTTCATTTTTATTATGAGCACAGATAGCCTATTTTTATTATTTATTTTAAAAATTTTGTTTCTTTATTTGTATGCAAGTCTGCACAATAGGTTATCTGCGTTGTGCCCGCCACGGAGATCAAATCCATAACTTTAGCGTTACAGTTCCTCAAGCCTACTACTGAGCCACCCTGAGACTTTTGTAGTTATGATGTTGTAGTTTTGGAAGCGAAAAAGATGTTAAAAAAGTGCTTATATCTTACGTATTCCATAGTAAGATGGTGTGCATCAACGTGATTATTTTATAACAATAATATTTATGGAACATTTATCGTGGTATTCCAAGGCGCGGAAGATAAACACAAAAAATTAGCATCAGAAAAGAAACTCATTAACCCGAGAGCTTATGAAATTGGGCTTTTCTTCTTTCGGGGTAAATGGAAAATGGCTTCTTTCAACATCGACAGTGATTGTTTCCAACATTAGACCGTCTTTTAAAGGGCAAGACGATTTAAGAGCCCATATAGACCGTATCATGAACCTTTTTTTTTCTTACAATAGTACTGAAATAACTACTATACCAAAAGACATTTTCACACGAGTTTCATTTTTATTTGTCGACCATATTGGTTTTTTGACGTCATAATCATGGTCATATACTAGCGTCGTGATCTGAAAAATAAATATTTCTTGAACTTGATGGAATATAATTTTTTTAATCTCATAGCTCTGTGGTTGTTGTGAGCATAACAAACCCAATAACATCATAGGTATAACTTTTTATGAGTTTAGTTAATATCTGTCCTAGAAAAATTGAGTAGAAATTGCAACTTAAATTATCAAGTGTCATCTCATATATCAGTATGTGTGTTTTTAGAAAAGCCATGACTGTTGGTGATGGGATTCGAACCCGCGACCTCTCTAACCACAAAGCTATGCTAGGCACAGGGATGCTAAGATATTCAACAGGGGGTTTAGAATAACAACAGAATTTGAGAGCCTGAACCAGCATGTGAAGGTAGACCAAATAAGAACATTTACATTATCAACAGAAAGTAATGCAACTCAAAAACTGAGTATGAAAAAGAGCTACATAACTTCAACATTGATTCCAACCCAGATGTAATTACAAGGCTAGATAAAGGAGGAGTTGGAGAAGAAGAACCAAAAATTCTGAAAGGAGAAATGGAAGGTGCAAAGAAAAGCATAAAAAATAGAAGAGCAGTAGGTGTAGACAATATTACAGGGGAATTTTTGAAAGTCGAGGAAACAACGATCAACTTCTTGCAAGAGATCTGCAATATTACTTAGAAGATAGTGAAATGGCCAATAAAATGGATGAAGTCTATAATAATTCCTATACCCAAGAAGGGTAATCGTCATCAGTGCAACAATTACAATATTACCACCCTCATTAATCATCCAAGCTAAGAGTCCTATTAAACAGGCATAAGCAATGAGCTGAGGCCATCCTAGCTGAAGAAGAATCAGGGTTTGTAGCACAGAAGAATGTTACAAAACAAATCTTCAATATAAAAATCATGTGTGAAAAATATCATGACCATCAAAAAAAGCTAAATCATAATTTTATTCATTTTATAATAGGTTTCGGCCGTGGAAGCAACAATTACCATGAGCAGCAATTAACAAGCATAACATTAGTTGAAACAAATGGGATTACTGAAGCATTGTATAACCATAATACCATTGGAGTTTTAATCGAATATAACATTCAAGAATTTATTAAAACAACTGTTGGGCTGCGTGTCTTCATGTCTGTTAAATATGTTCCTAGAGCAAATCATGACAGACGCCATGGTTCAATGACAATTGGAGGACGAAAAATAAATAACTCAAATTTGCAGATGACATATATTTAATTGCAGGATCATCAGATGAACTAGTTGACTTTACAATAAGGCTGCAAAAGAATGTGGTATGGATATAAGCATAGAAAGGAGCAAAGTGATGGCCACTTATGGCATTAGCATTGATCATGTAACATTGTGGGATGTAAAACTTGAAGAACAAAGACTGGAAAAGGTCAACAGTATCAAATATCTTGGAGCAAACATTACAGAAAGCGCAACATTAGAAAATGAAGTGATAACCAAATTGGCATTAGCCACAAGACAACTTGCAGAACTCTGGTCAAGTAACGACATCACATTAAAAACAAAAGTTTCAGCTTCTCCTTTTTGTAATTACCTCAGCAGCACTATATGAACGTGGGGCATGGACCCTTATAAACGTATTGAAAAAGAGAGTAGAAGCTTTCGAAATGAGGTGCTTCAAAAGACTTTTGAGCATTCCTTATACCATTCACAAAAGAAACAAGTCAGTTAAAAATGAAATTGTACAGAAAAGGATCACCTACGAACTGTTAATATATGCCATAAGAGGAAGTAAACTGCAGTGGCTGGTCATGTGATGAAAAAAACAGGCATCCTTGTGAATACCATCCCGCATTGAGCCGTGGAAGGGAAATTCAAAAGAGGAAGACCAACAAGAAGTTGGTTGACCATTATAAAAGAATGAACTAAAACTTTAGCGATAGAATGTATGAGAATGGCTGAGAACCTGGAACCCAGGTAGTTATAACAGCTGAATCAAAGGTGACCCACACGGAACTTAATAAAAAAAACGTTATATTATTTTATTATTTAGGCCCACAATTAGGCACAAAATAATGGAATTTCCATAACCAATGTTCCTTCACAATCAAATCTAATATTTTTTTCTGATTTGGACTAAAGTATATGACCATAATTATGACGTCATAACTCCGAAATGGCCTTCACTTGGAATGTGAACTTCAGTGAAAATGCCCTTTTGCTTAAGATTTATTTTTTTCGATTTACAAAATGTTTCATGAATGAGTATTTTAAGCCCTTAAGTCATTTTGTCCTATTCAGACAACCCATAAACTCACTAATCCTTTGCTGGTGTTTTGAATGGCTATTATTATCAAAATTTACACTTTTCTGTTCTTAAAGATAGTATGGCATTTTTAATTCGGTATTCATCTTTGATGAACTGGTTAGGAATGTAGAACAAATACTGGTGTAAGGAGTTTGAGTTAGGTTGGGTTCACGTGAATCAGAATTAGTATGAGAGATTCAAGTCAAGTCTATGGTAATTTGACTACTTTCACTACTAACTCAAATGTTTCTGATAAAATAGGTCTTGAATCGATTAATTTCAGAACTTGCCGTTTTCTTTAGGAAGATTACGTAACAAACCGTCCAGTTTTATATGAAGAAACTTTAATAAGGCCAGGAAAAACACTCTCATTTTAAACCCAGATTTTATTAAATCTAGTCTCTCTCTGGATAATAAGTTATCTGTTTATAGTTACCATTCTACTATACTGATATGCTCGTTTGCTAATGATCGACTTACTGTCTTGTAAGTGTATGTACTATTACATCTCCCGTGAACAGGATTTCATCCCAGGATCTCTCGCACCCCACTCGAATGTTTTACCAGCTGAGTTAAAGTGTTAACTCGTTAACTGTCACTAGTTACGCACTTTTTAACGATTCAATCTTACCAACTTATTCTCTTTCACAAATAATTCATTTTCTCGGGGTTACCAGTTTTTCTTGTGGCAATCCTATTTTTGCGTCTCACGTGAGCGGAAGGGATCAAAGACCTCTCGCACGCCAGACGAGTACTCTTAAAAGATAAACCCACTGGCACTCGATGGTGAAGCATTTTTTACGTTTCAAATTATCACAAGGTTAAGTAACGACATACCACTCGATAATGCAAACATTGTCCATAAAATAGACTCATATTTTTTCTATAAAACGTTTTACAGATAAATGTTTTTTTATTAATTGGTAATGTTTTAGGGCTTTCACAGTATTCTTGCTGTATATGAGAAGAGATAAAAGAGGCTGTATATATTTTTTGGGCACAAGGCCCTCAGTGGTTTTAAACATTAACGTTATTAACTATATCCAGGTAGTTCAGTGCTCACAGTAAAAGTCACACCCTTTTTTATCACAAGCTAACTTATTATAAAAATAGCAATACCAAGGTAAAAACCATTTTTGCATGTGTAAGAAAATTATTATCTGGTCTAACAATAAAAAAAACAAATTGTATAATATCGATAAATATCTGGTTTAGCAACGTTTGGGTAGTGTTGTTTTTAACGCATAACGCAGATTTGTCACAAAAACAAAAATTAGAACCATGTGAAATAGAGGTTAAAACAAATTGAAATCTGTGCGACGTATTTTTATTTTTCCAATTTACTTTTGAAATAAATATATTACGACCTAAATAGTAAATCGTATATTCCATACTCAAAACGTTAGACATAGATATACGTGTGTATTCATGTGTAGCAAATTAACGCATTACCTGATGGGTCATCCTTACCAATGTTAAGGTAGAATTGAATCAGTTATAAAGAATTTCCATCGTTACAATAATTAAATTGATTTAACTAAGTTACTGTTTTTCAGCATTTGATATTTTTTAAAGTACTATTGATGTATTTATAGATTTTAAAAAGACACTTTATACTGTTGACATTATATTCTTAATAATAAACTTGAAAGATATGGCGATTAGTAACTTAGATTAGTAGCTCTTTAACTAATAGAAGTCAAAATGCATCAATAAGCAATACTGATCTCATTAGTTTGAGTATTACTGGTGGAGTCCCTGAGGGATCAATTTTAGGATCTATTTTATATATTCTATATATAAGTGACGTATTTAATGTTTAACAGATTTTACAGTTTTTTGTTGTTGTTGTTGTTGATAACACAACTCTATTTTGTACTGGAGACAATTTTATTGAGGTAGTAAAAGTAATACTGAGCAACAAAAGACTAATTCATGGTTTAAAATAAAACAAACTATCATTGCTTACATTGTTGTTGTTGTTATATTATTCCTGAAAATTTATCTATTTTAATTGATAATACAGAAATTAAA